GGATCGCCTTGTTCCCTATCTACTGGTCTGCGACGATGAAGGAAGAACGCACTGATCTCGAGCGCGGCATGGTCGCTCTCCTCACTAAGGACTATCACAGCCGCCAGATCGATAAGCGACCGAACGTGGTACAGTCCCTCCTGGAGGGTGCTGCCAAGGCTTGGCCTGATTGCAAGATTCCGCCGCATGTTCTCAAGTACGAGGCCAAGACGTACGATGCGTGGTACACCGCGCTTGTCCAGCTTGAGAATGCAGCCATCAAGCCAGAGATCGAGTCGGCAACTGTTCGTGAGAGCAACCTTGATGCACTTGTTGAGTTATACGCTTCTCTACAAGAAGACGATCTGTTCTACGGCACTTGGCGTAGACGGTGCCAGTTTGTGGAGACGAATGCCGCGTTGTCCTATGAGCAGAATGGAATGTGGGACAAGGCCCAGAAGATGTACGAGGCCGCTCAGATCAAGGCTCGAACGGGTGTCATCCCCTTCTCTCAAGGAGAGTATGTTCTCTGGGAAGATCACTGGGTTTTGTGCGCGCAGAAGCTTCAGCAATGGGAGATTCTCCAAGATTTCGCCAAGCACGAGAACTTCCAGGACTTGCTTCTAGAGTGCGCTTGGAGGAACAACACTGAGATGTGGCAGACACAGGAGCATCGCGAGGCGCTCGACAATCTTATCAAGGGCGTTATGGACGCCCCGACGCCTCGACGCGCCTTCTTCCAGGCCTTCATGTCGCTTCTCAAGTTCTACAACAAGCAAGAGACGCCCCAGGACTTCGCCAAGTCGTGCGACGAAGCCATTCAACTTTCTATCCGGAAGTGGCATCAGCTGCCGAAGCAGCTCACCAAGGCACACATTCCTCTGCTTCAGAACTTCCAGCAGTTGGTCGAACTCCACGACGCCAGCGTGATCTGCAACAGCTTGGCTAGCACCAATCAGTCCAACTTGGATGTTAAGAGTGGAGAACTCAAGCTCCTGCTTGGTGCATGGCGCGATCGTTTGCCCAACGTCTGGGACGATATCACTGCCTGGCAAGACCTGGTAACCTGGCGCCAGCATATCTTTGGCCTCATCAACCAGACGTACCTCCAGCTACTTCCTCAAGGTGGCGGGCAAAACGCCAGTGGTGCCTCGTTTGCCTACCGTGGATACCACGAGACTGCCTGGATTATCAACCGCTTCGCACACGTCGCTCGCAAACACAGCCTGCCGGAGGTCTGCATCACACAGCTGAGCAGGATCTACACACTTCCCAATATCGAGATCCAAGAAGCCTTCCTCAAGCTGCGAGAGCAGGCCAAATGCCACTATGAGAATCCCGATGAGCTTACGAGCGGATTGGACGTGATTAACAACACCAACCTGAACTACTTCAACCCGCCCCAGAAAGCCGAATTCTACACTCTGAAGGGCATGTTCCTTGAGAAACTCAAGCAAAAGGAAGAGGCCGATTCTGCATACGGCACAGCCCTGTACTTCGATATCACCGCTGCCAAGGCCTGGGCTGAATGGGGTTACTTCAACGAGCGCAAGTACAAGGAGGACCCGACTGATATCAACTCGGCCCGTCAGGCACTTACGTCGTACCTGCAAGCCGCCGGAAGCTACAAGAACGCCAAGTCACGCAAGCTCATTGCTCGCATCTTGTGGCTGCTCAGTCTGGACGATGCCAACGGCTCCATAGCAGCTGGCTTCGACGACTTCAAGGGCGAGACTCCTGTCTGGTACTGGATTACCTACATTCCTCAGCTCCTCACTGGTCTTGGCCATAAGGAAGCTCCGAGGGTCCACCAGATCCTCAGCAAGATTGCCAGGTCCTACCCTCAAGCGCTGTACTTCCAGCTGCGAACCAACAGGGAGGATATGCTTGTCATCAAGAAGAATCAGGAAGCCAAGGAGAAAGCTCGCCAGCGTGCCCAGTCGACGGTGTCTAATGGCAAACCGAGCGCGTCGCCTCAACAACCCAAGCAAGACGGCGTTCCGAAACCGGATGCGTCTGGTTCAAGGCCTGGTACTGCCAGCGGCGGCGACGCGAATGCCTCCGTTAAGACCGAAGGCAACGATGCCAACGGCACCCCGGCTCCTCAGGCCAATGGCACAGCTGCTGGCGGAGACCAATCAGCTGCCGGTCAGAAGAAGCCGCCATGGGAACTCACCGAGGAGATCATGAGTGCTCTGAAGACCGCATTCCCTCTCCTCGCACTTTCCATGGAGACCATGGTGGATCAGATCCAGAAGCACTTCAAGTGCCCTCCTGATGAAGATGCGTACCGTCTCATCGTTGCTCTGCTTAATGACGCGCTAGCGTACGTCAGCCGCATGCCTTCATCGTTCGCTAAGGATGTCAAGCTTCCCTCCGCTACTGAGACCAACATTACGCGCTTCGCCGAGACCATTCTTCCAGCTCACATTAAGAAGTCGTTCGAGGCCGATTTTGTTACTGTCAAACCGACCATGTACGAGTACATTCATAAGCTGCGACGTTGGCGCAATAAATTTGAGGAGAAGCTTGACCGTCGAATCACACGCGTCTCGCTGGAGGCATTCTCGCCGCACCTCTCCGAATTCCGTTACCAGAGGTTCGATGATGTCGAGATACCTGGCCAATACCTGCAGCACAAGGACAAGAACCAAGACTTCATCCGCATTGAGCGCTTCTTGCCTAATGTCGATCTGGTGCGGTCGATCAGTGCCTCGTACCGTCGTCTCCAGATGCGCGGTCACGATGGAAGCATCCACTCGTGGGCTGTTCAACACCCGGCGGCCAGACACTGCCGTCGCGAGGAGCGTATCCTGCAGCTCTTCAGACAGCTCAACCAGACCTTGGGTAGAAGAAAGGAGAGTCGCCGCCGAGACCTTCAGTTCACTCTGCCATTGATGGTTCCTCTTGCACCTCACATCCGCATTGTGCAGGAAGACACATCATACATCACCCTCCAGAGCGTATATGAGGACCACTGCAGACGCCACGGCATGTCCAAGGACGATCCTGTGTTATTTACCATGGAGAAGCTGCGCGGCGTTCTTGATACGAAGAACTCGGTAAGTAGTGCCATCAAAGAGCGAATGACAAAACCTAACAATTTTTCACAGAAGCATGCCGAGCAAAGCGCAACTGCCCGACTGGAGGTGTTCCACGCCATCCAGGAGAAATGGGTGCCACAGAACTTGGCCCTGGACTATTTCCAAAAGGCCTTCCCCGACTTTACCGAGTTCTGGCTGTTCCGCAGACAGTTCTCATACCAGCTTGCGTCACTCACCTTCATGACGTACATTCTGTACATGCACAACCGTTACCCACAGAAGATCAACATTGCTCGTGGATCTGGAAACATCTGGGGTTCGGAGCTCATGGCGTACATGAGCGCTGCGAAGCCCTTCTTCCACAACCCAGAGCCGGTACCATTCCGTCTGACGCCCAACCTCCAGACGCTCATGGGCCCACTGGCAACGGAGGGCATTTTCAGCTGTGCTCTTATGGCCATCGCACGATGCCTCACAGAGCCCGAGTACGAGCTGGAGCACGCCCTCACGCTCTTCGTGCGCGATGAAATGATTTTCTGGTTCACGAGCTCCCACCGGACGGTGCAAATGACGGAGAACCAGCTCCGCGAATCGGTGCAAGTGAACAGCGACTCCGTGGTCAAGCGGGCCGTGAGCCTGGCACAGAGCCCCGTCGGCAATTTGCCTGCCAACCAGACGGTCATTGACCTCGTCGCCAAGGCAGTCAACCCCATGAACTTGGCGCAGTGCGATGCGTTGTGGATGCCGTACTTGTAAGAAGTCGTGTGAGGAGGATGAAAAGGAAGTAAATGACTTGGGGATTACGCGCACGTGTGTGTCGAAGGGGGTTATCCTGTTGTATGATTTTAGCAAGGCGTTTTTTTGGAATGCGAAAGACGATTGAGGGGATCTGGAGGTCATGAAGGCCATGCATGATTATTTGGAGGGAGAGCAGGAAAAAATGGATGTTTAGAGATGACGATTCCTTCTTGTATTTGTACGGCCGTCTAACATCGAAGCTCTCCTACGTATTTGCCGGTAAGAGCTCTCGATGTTGAAGCAAGATATAGCTTCATGATAATCAGATTGTTTTTGTTCAAGTTTATCATCCTGATGGAGTTCAATTTGCGTCTTTTTAGACTTTGCAGTGACATGTGCGCGATGTTGAGGCAAGCATGAACTTTCAGACGTAGAGTTTCGGGAGATCGGGAGAAATGGTAGTTTGCCGCGCGTGGAAGGCCGGGGTCGACCCGGCTCACTAGCCCGGACCCTTGTCCCAAGCCCTCCAGACGCTAAACGTCAACTCACCAAAGCATCGGTGACAGTCCGAACTCGCTTGAGCGCCACATTCCTTCTCCTCGTTTTGTGTGGTTCACCGTCCAGAGACGCGAAGTCCGCACCCGCCAATACCTACGGACTACCCTATGGATACGTATCCCCCTACCCACACCGCGGAGAGCCACCGGGCGAGTCGGCGCGCGTTCTTGGCTTGGCCTTATCAAGAGGTAGTTCTTGAGCTTCCTTATCGGGGTACTCACACACACAAAACTACACGTTGGAAAGATGAATGACGATTTGTAATCCCGGGGGTTGAGGAGCCATCCGGGGGTGGTAGTGGTGGTGGTGGACTGGGGCACGGCGGATACGGAACTGTCATCCATTCGGTTGCTTGCTCTTTCTCGGTATCTTTTGCCTACCTACTTCTCAACCCTTCTTATCTTCCAAGTCCGTTCTCATCTTCCCATCCTTGGCTTTTGATTCACAGTCTTGTTGGTGGTTCTTTGGGCTTTAGTATACTTTACTTCACATTACAGACTCAATTATCAGCATTGAGTTGTCCAACGCAATTCGTCCCACGGTATCGTATAAGCCTTATCTCCGCCAAGGCACGCGACAGCTAGCAGCAGCAGCAGCAGCATCATCATCATCATCATCATCATCATCATCATCATCATCCCCGTCACCATCGATCGTATCTCCATACCAACGTCAATCACCATGTCTGCCGCCACCATGGGCAGCTCGTCCAAGAAGGCGCCCTTGAGCCTCGAGCATCACTTCTCTGAGGTAACCAAGAGGCGTGAGCCTAGCAAGATGAAGGAGTATTACAAGTACTTTGAGATTCCTGGCATTGGGAACCTAGCTGGTGGTTAGTATAGAAACCCCCCAAAAACCACACTTTCACTCCTGGGAACCCTTCTCAACTCTTCTCTTGAGTCTCACAACAGCCCTTTTCTGTTGTTACGTCTCTCTACGTTCCTCCACATTGAAAGTTGCACGGCATCAATGAGATTGATTTGGGTTGTCGCGATCTGTCCTACCCGCTTTGCAGTGAGACGGGAAGGATGCCGCAATATATGCCGTAATGTGCACCTTGCGTTGCGTGCTCATCACGTATACGTGCGGGATCGCGCGTCAACGCTCCAATGATATTCGCAATCCCGATTTCGGCCAAACCTTGGTACCCCGGGCAAAGCATGAATCGCTGACACTTTTTCGGAACCCCCATTCTAGGTCTGCCGCATTCGAGCCTGTTTCCGTTCGACACCCTCGAGGCACAGGCGGCGAAGCCCGAACGATGGGAACCGTCTCCGATCCCCGATGATGGCACCACCGGCAGCACCAGTACCAGCACCAGCACCCTCCCGATCCGGGGCACCGCCGCCGCCGCCGCCGCGGGCCAGGACATGGAAAAAGACGTCAAGGCCTCCCGGCACGTCACCGTCCCCGGCACCGACGACGACCGCGACCCGCTCCGCCGCATCGACGTCGCCACCGCCCTGCAGTACGGCACGGCCGAGGGGTACCCGCCCCTCCGATCCTTCATCCGCCAGTTCACGCGGGACCACCTGCACCCGGATGTGCCGTACCTCGGCGGGCCCGAGGTGATTCTCAGCTGCGGCGCGACCGACGGCTTCTCCAAGACGCTGGAGCTCATCACGAACCCGTGGAGCCCCGCGAAAGACGCCGCGGCGGAACGGCCAGGTATGCTGTGCGAGGTCTTTGTGTACAGCCAGGTCCTGTCGCAGGCGCTGCCGCGGGGCATCCAGGTCGTGCCGGTCGAGATGGACGACGGCGGCATGATTGCCAACGGGCCTGGCGGGTTGGAGGAGGTTTTGGCTGGGTGGGATGAGAAGAATGGCAAGAGGCCGCATTTCATTTACACCGTGACGTGAGTTTGTTCTTTTCTCTCTAAACTTCATCTCTTTCTCTATCTCTTTTACCCTTTTTGGGGGAGGATCGCTGCTCTGAGAGGTAAGACAGAACCCATGGCTAACACGTGGCATGGGGTGCTTCTAGCATGGGCCACAACCCGACCAGCGGTATCTTGTCCGTGGAACGCCGCAAGGAGATTTACGCCATCGCCAGCAAGTACGATGTCATCATTGTCGAGGACGACCCGTACTGGTACCTGCAGTACCCTTCCGCTGTCGTAGAGGAAGCCAAGTCGCGCGGCCTGGAGGTTTCTCCCTCTGCCGCTCGTCCGACTTACAAGCCCACCAAGTCTTCCGGCTACCAGTTCCTGGATTCTTTGACCCCTTCGTTCCTCAGCATCGACACGGATGGCAGAGTCATCCGCCTCGACACCTTTTCCAAGACCATCGCGCCGGGATGCCGCATGGGTTGGATCACGGCGCAGCCGGCCATCATTGAGCGCTTGCTGAGGTATGCATCATCTATCCGACCACAACATGTCACTCAAACACTATTGAAACTAACATGACCGTGTCTCGTCAGAATCACCGAAGTCACCACCCAGCAACCCTCAGGCTTCGTGCAATCCACTGTAGCAGAGCTCATCATGGGCGACCAACCCCCGGCCGCCCGCTCCGCCTTTGCCGCCCTCACCTCGCGCCAGAAGCAGACCTTTGAAGGCTGGAAGATGGACGGCTGGGTCCGCTGGCTCGCCGGCCTCCGCGGCGTCTACGAGCGCCGCATGAACCGCATGTGCACCATCCTCGACGAAGGGTCCATCCAGCTCAAGCAGTCGACCCCGCGCAGCGCCGACGACGCCGACTGGGGCGTCGTGAGCAAGACGCAGCTCTACGAGTTTGCGTGGCCGCGCGGCGGCATGTTCATCTGGCTCAAGCTCCGGCTCGAGACGCACCCGCTGTGGATGGCGACGGGCGGCGAGCGGATCCCTTTGCTCGACGGGGAGAGGCTGTCAACGGCGCTCATGTTTTTTGCGACCAAGAAGCCGTATCGCGTGCTCGTGAGCCCCGGCCTCATCTTCAGTGCCACGCCGGCGATCCGGGCGGAGAGGGGATGGGCTTACTTCCGGTTGTGTTTTGCTGCTGAGACGGAAGAGAATGTGGACTTGTGCGCGCAGAGGTTGGCGGATGCGATTCAAAGGTTTTGGAGGATCAAGAAGGTGGAGGAGGTGGAGGATTTGCTTGGGGACTTCTTCCTGGCCCAGGGTAAAGAGGAGGAGCTTGAGGGGTTGGGCAACTTGGGTAGTCTGATGGGATGTTAAGGACCCATTTGGATACATCTTGAGAGTACGTACGTGTAACGAATCTGATGAATCAAACCATGCGTGTGGCATAAGAGGACGTGGGTTACAGCTCATATATGATATACACCATGGAGTTTAGAAAACTTTTTGTAGCTACCTTACAGTCACTACGTAATAGAGAGAAAATACAAAAACAAGAAAAGGTCATAATCACGTGGAATAGAGTCGTCACGGTCCAGGGGCAGACCAAAGTACACCAAGACTTTTGTTGTGTGAATTCAAGGGAATCATTTGTCCATTGATGAATTGAGGTCAACATTTCCTAGTTGCCATTACGCCTCAAGCACAAACCATGCTAAAATGTAGCCCCGTCCGTTTCAGAAACCTGCATTCCACCACCGTCGTCAGAACACCCGTCCCAGGTAAGAAATTGCTTATTTCTTCTGGGCAGCCTCCTTGGCGAATACCGAGGCGTAGGGGTTCAGGCGGAGCATGACCTGCTTGTTCTTGAGGGGGTTCTTCTTCTGGACCGCGGAGCGGCGGGTGACGGCGTAACCCTTGGGCTCGTTGAGGGCGGACTGGGTTTCCGAGCTGTTGATCAGACGGGTCAGGTCGCTCTGGGAGACGATGTTGGAGGGAAGAAGGAAGTCCTTCTTGAGGGCGGAGGGCTGGGTGGTGGTGCCGTAGATGGTGTCCAGGGACTTGAAGGCGGCAGAGGTCCAGATGACGAAGCGACCGAGGTGGCCACCGGGGGCGAGCTGGAGGAGGTTGAGGGCGGTGACGGAGGAGGTCTCGACACCGGGGACGTTGCGGAACGCGGTGACGAGCTCCTTGCCGTCGACCTCGGGGTCGTAGATGACCAAGGGGCCGCGGCGCTGGCGGTGGCGGCGGCCACGAAGCTTACCCTTACCGGCGCGGAGCTTCTTGGACTTCTTGACCTTCTCGACGTCGTCGGAGGCACCGACGGTCTTCAGGAGAGAGACAGCGGCGGCGGTGCGAGCGACAGCGGCGTTCTCGAAGAGAGCAGAGTCGACGACCAGGGGGACCTCGGGGACGTTGGAGACCTGGTGACCGCGGGCCTGGAGGAGGGGGGCAACGCCGGAGGCGGCGATAGCGGAAACGGTAGCGTAACGTCTGTAAATTATACTTGTTAGGAACGCTGCGCTTTTCGCCCGATCCTCACGATCCCCGCAGTGGGGTGGTGAAAAATCTGGAGAGGGAAGAAAAAAATCTCACCTCTGGCCCTGGGAGACCTTGACGTGCCACTTGCGCCAGGTCTTGGTAGGGGCGAACATGCGGCCAGAACGGCACATGTTACCGAAGGCGGCCTGACCGGCACGGTGAGTACCACCACCGGAGACACGGGGGATACGGGCAACAGCGCGACCTATGGTGTTTCTGTCAGCACAATTATTCCCTTCTCAGAGTGACGTCTTCGGTAGAGTCCTCTCTCTCAGCCATCGCGGATCCTCCAATTCGTCGAGAAAGTATTCGCTTCGGTCCCTCGGGCATCCACCTCGTGGCGGGTCGTGTCGAAACCCCCTTCCCAGATGTCTGCTCGAGGTCCCGTTCGCGTTCCCTTCCCCGTCGAATTTTTGGTTCCCTTGCCCCAGCTGGAAATTCGAAGATCCTCCCCTCGTGACGCTGTCGCTCCGGATAGGTGTCGACTAACCAGTTCCCCAAGACTCGGCAGAGGTCTGGTGACCGGCCTTCTCGCTGACGGAGTAGGGCTGGCGCTTGTTCTTGGCCAGGCCCTTGTGAACCTCCTGGACGATATCGGGACGGATAGGGCTCAGGAAGACAGCCGGCAGGGTGTGGGTGTTGCCGGAGGACTTGCCATCCTTGCCGATGATGGTGACGGTAGGTCTCGAAGCCATTGTGTTGATCGTTGATTGACCTGTGAAAAGAGAAAAGCACAAATGGTTAGTTAATGATAATGGAAGACAGTAAAAGAACTGAAATTTGCCGGGACGCCTTGCTTGAATATGGAGAATTCCAATTTTTTTCGTAGAAAACTAGGGAGCAAAGAAAATTGAGCTTACCTGGGTCAACGGTGGGCTTCAGTGGCTGCTGGTTAGTGACGGGGTTGAAGTTTGCACTTTGGCTTCGCGATCAATTTCACACGACAATGTGAGAAAAAAAATCGGTGTGGGCGGCGGAGACCCTAGGTACCCAAGTACCTAGGTACCTGTTAGCGAAGCCCGGCTCGAATCACGTGAGCCGCCGTAGGCACAGTGCTTTCCCAAATTGCGCTGACACAGTATCTGCCCCACCTTCCACCTTCGCGACCAGGTACCTGCCGGAGGATGGGCGGCGGGACTCGGGAGGTTCACGTCAATGGGTGTCTCCAGATCTTGAAAGCCCGCTTTACCGCAAACTTGGAATGCGCTGGGCGGCCAACTCTTATAACCTAAGTCGATGCAAGTTGACCCAGCAATTTTATCTCATCTCATATGAGATCAGGTTGAATGTGTCCTGCCTTGGCGTTCAGATTTGAGAATATCTCTGATGCGTACCACGAGGTGCAAGTAATGTCGAGTACATTGCAAACACTTAGCCTCCATTTCAACAACGGAAGCTCTATTTCTCAAGCGTCTATCAGTGTTCGGCAACGGTTCGCTTCGCTGGCTTTCTTTGGCAGGTTTAATTCACCGAGGCTCAAGAGAAATCAACGTTTACATTGGCCCAGAACAAATATGCATCAAAACATATTGACTGACGCAAGACACTTGCCTATGCCAGGTGGGAGAGAATTCATGTCGAAGTGCGTTGTCATGCCCGATAGACAAGACATATCCTCCTGCACATCACCCCCAAAACACATGCAGAAGCGGTTTTCGAAACATAGCTACAGCCGCTAAGCTTCTAAATGTAATATACGGCGGATTCCATCAATTTCCTTCACCCATGAACAGCGAGTTTCACACATCTAGTAGAAGAGCCCATATATGTCCTCGTGAGTGCAAGCGGATGACCACGAATAAGTTTTTACCGGCGCCCCCAGACTCAACCACGCCCATGCAACGCCAAAAACAAGTCCCAGCAACAGTATCAGACAACAACAAACCCATCCTGACAATTTCAGCAGGAATGCAAAAGAGTTGGGCCCTAACCAGGATTCGAACCTGGGACCTCTCCCAGACGTGTCGTGAAGACCCTAAGGGAGAATCATACCGCTAGACCATCAGGGCTGATGAGGTATTTCTTGTTGTTGAGCTGTAGCGTTGGCCTAGTGCTTATGATTCTCTCCTTCTCTTCTGCTTTCTCTAACTCTACCTCGAACCCGTGGTAAATCGCCAGCGGCCGCTGTCTCTTAGCTCGTGTGAAGTTGCAGATAGGTCAGTATGTCGCAACTCGCGGATCAAGCCTTTGCAACCCTCTCGGAACCAATGCTCGCTTAGGCTCACAGAGAACAGGAGAGAGACTCGTTATCTTCTCCGCCAGTGAGGAAGACAAAGAGCAGCCGGATCTGATTAGATGCAGATTACCAAAGGCTATCCGAAGTCATGCTATTAGACCCCAGACAGGGCGCAAAGATCCCTGTCAACCGCTCCAGAGATAAGGTAAAACGCTACGCGTCCATTGTCGCAATCGAACGAACCCTTTTGCTCATAGTCGGCATCCGAGCCTGTTGCTTTATTCCCGAGCTGCTCTCCTTTTACGCTCGACTTTCCTCCCCTTATATGTTTTTTCAAAAATTTCGTAAAACAAAGTTGAAGAGACTGAGAAAGGAGTGAACCCGAACACGCCATAACTAAGCTTCTGGGATCCCACCACTTATCTCGCATGGATTTCAAAGGTCGCTTTTAAGAGTCAACGCCCTTCGGCTCTAAGCTGAGCAAATTCAAAGTCAGCTCCTCCGATAATGGCGGACCTCCGCACCGACGAAACCTCGCCGTTTCTCCAACGGCCCCCGGCAACAGCAAGATCCCGCGATACGTCCCCGGCAGCGTCGGCGGCGTCGGCGTCACACAAGCTCACCCTCTTCAACGGCCTCGCAATCGTTATCAGCCTACAAATCGGCTCGGGCATCTTCAGCGTGCCCTCACAAATTAGCCAATTTGTCACTGCGCCAGGATACGGCCTTTTGGCCTGGCTTTTTGGTGGTCTCCTCGTCTGGACGGGTGCCGCCTCCTTCATCGAGCTCGGGCTGCGCATCCCCAATAATGGCGGCATCCAGGAATACCTGCGGGCCTGCTACGGCGAGTTCGCCGGGTTCTTGTTCACCTGGGTCTGGTGCACCATTATCAAGCCCGCGGCGAACTCAATGATTGCGACAATTTTCGCGGATTATCTCACCGAGGCCTTTGTAGCAGACCAAGAGACGCTGCCGCCTTGGGTGTCAAAGGTGGTGGCGGCGAGCTGCATCGTGATCATGACACTGGTTAATTGCCTGGGTGCAACCGCGGGCGCAAAAGCAGCCAACTTATTTCTGTTTCTAAAGATGATGGCTCTGACCATCATAATCGTCCTTGGCTGCGGCGTCTGGGCCTTTGGTCATGGAGAGGGTGTTCCCTCCTCCGAGTACGGATGGTTTGGCCAGGTTCCTGAGCAACGCGAAATCGGTCTTTGGGAGTGGCTCGGTGATTTTGGTACGGCAACGTTTGGAGCTCTCTGGTGTTATGCCGGCTGGGAAATGGTGAGTTTGACAGCTCGCCCACTTTGGCAGTGGATGGAAACTGAACACAGCAGGTTGGCTTTGTCTTGGGAGACATGAAAAATCCAAGGCGAGATCTGCCCCTCGTGATTAACGGCTCCATGATCGTGGTGATCATCGGTTTCATGCTGATGAATGCGGCTCTATATGTCTGCCTGCCCATGAACGTTATGCGGACGAGCAGTACTGTCGCGGTGGTAAGCATTGCAAGCGAGCCAGACGAAGATGTTTATGAGGCTAACTCAAGAATAGGAGTTCGCGAATAGGATCCTTGGAACTTGGGCTGGACTTCTCTTTTGCGTTATAGTGTCCATTTCGGCAATGGGTGCTTTAAACTCCAACGTGTTTGCGACTGCCAAGCTCGTCGTTGTTGCTAGTCAGAGGGGATATTTCCCTGCGATCCTGGCAAATCTGCACTGTAGTCACGAAAAGGACGAGGCTGTGTGCGTCGACGAATATCTTTCGTCTGCGCCAAGACTGGTCCGAGGGCCTATCAAGGGTTTCTTGTCCTGGACCCAGAATCGTCGGTGGAGGAGAAATGTGCCATTGCTCCCCCTCATGTTGAACTGTACCTTGTCAGTCGTGTATGTAGTTGTCGGGAGTTTCAATGGGCTCGTTACTTTTATCGGTGAGCCTCGTCATTTGAAAAGCGATCGCACAGGATTATCAACTGACAAACAATCCAGGACTGGCAGCGTATATGATCTTCTTCTCTTCAGCCGTTGGCCTTATCCTTCTCCGTAGAAGAGATGGCCGCGTGCCGGGAGCGAAGGCTGCCGAGTATAGCACTTGGCTCATCAATCCTGTCATCTTCAGTGCCATCAGTGGCCTGTTGGTCGTCAGAGGAGTCATCTCAGAACCTCTGCAGGGAGGGGCTATTCTCTTGGTCGCCTTGTTCGGCATCGGCTTCTTCTCGCTCAGGTTTGGCTTGCGCGGCTTCACCCACGCAGAGACCAGATGAGGTTCGCTCAGCCATCCACATTTCCGTTATGGTCGTGCGACAGCTACATTGTCCCCCCGGCCGGAGCAGTCATACGCGGCTGGCCTGTCCGCACCGGAGCTTGGACTGTCTCTTCAAGCACGCTCTCCAGTCAACCCTTAGTCTTCAAATTCTGACGCGGTAAAGGCTTGCCAAAGCTGCTCTTGCGGAACAGACTCGCAGAATGGAACGGCACACCTCCTGGTGACTGTGAATTTGGCCTGTTTCCCCACAACTGGCCAAGTCGCAGTCGATTGTCAGCGGTATATCGACAGGCGTTAGGCACGTTGGATGCCGGAGGCGGAGAGGTCTGTGGAACTTTGGGCAGTGGTACGGTCCGTGTTGGGCCTAAATGCCTCCTTATTCCCAGTCAAGTGGAAGGCGTCGTGAAACGGTACCAATTTGATGCTATTCAAAGACGTCAGGGAATGGCCGCCGTGGCCCCAAAGATAGGCTTGTGGCCGCGCTAGACGATGCAATATGCACGGTGTCTGAAGAGCTTGGACGACCGCAATCAGGGGCCACAGCAGTTAGCTTCGGCACAATTGACTTGAGATCTTTGAGTGATTGGCAATGTCAAAGTTGTCCAAAATTTGAGCTTTTGGTCATGTTAAACGGAGACCGTCGTTGTGGCGTGAAAAGCGTTGCACTGAAATCCCACCGCTCTTTCTCAATGCAGATCTTCGGAAAGGAAGGGTGTCGATGGTAGTCTGAATGACGAGCTGGCGTAGATAGCTGCAGCTCTAAGACGCCGGAGACTTTGGGTGTTCTAGAAAGCGCAGACTTTTGCTATCCAACACATGCGGCAGCTAGCCGTGTGCATGACCCCGTTGTGGGATGGAGGGGGGAAGAGGAGAGGCGAGTCTCGAAGCCTGAAGGAGGGTGTGGGGGTGGGTAGGTAGGACGGCGTTCGACATGGCCACAGACTCTCTGCTAACTTTTCAGAAAAACGATACGTAAAGTGACCTAGGATGCTGCATCTTTTCTGTCATAGGTTATTGCTAGACACGCAAGATAAGGGGCGATGCGTTCCGCTTCATCCTATTGTTCGCGAAAATACCTGGTATAATGTAACGGGCGGATAGGGTCTATGCCCGTCTTATCACAAAGACACGAACTCAATGTCGTCCGGGGACACGAGAAGTGTTGGTTGATCTCCGAATTTCGTCACATCGTAGAACGGGCAAGTCGGCATTCGTCGACCAAAAGAGCGAGCCTTGGGAATTGACCGTGGTGCCAGGCATGGAATCCAACGTGGACTAAGCCTCGCTCCTCACCTTCACGGCGACTAGTCGGCCGTTACCTGACCTCACCAAGAGTACACGGCAACGCCGCGTGGCGCATGCTGCTGTCGCTCTGGGCCAATGACAGATGGACCGTTGGAGTCTCGTTTGGAGAACCCTCGTAACCGTATGCTTGGCTTGCCCTAGTCGTCGGATGTTCATTCTTGATCGACCACAACCAACGAATTACAGCCAATTCGTCTTCATCTTGAGTACCTATCTGTAGATGGGCATCGTAACCTCAAAGGTGTGCAAAGATCAGGGTCGGGCCCCGTCAGGGCAAATCCGTGCAACCGTGAAAAGGTTGAAATGCAGGCAGGGACGGCAGGCTGTCGTGGTACCGTGCCAGGCCTCATCGCAGGTGGACGGTCGAATCGACAGCGTCGGTTGCCCTAAACAGGTTCCCAGCATATGCAAGAAGGTATCAAGCTAGGTAGGCCGGAGGTGAGAACTGGGTGGAAAGTGGATACAAGTCGATGCCGATGCACTTTGGCCTTGGGCCGTCCGCACGCTCGAACGTTTCTTAGGCTTTGACCTTGGACGTTGGGAGGGGGGCTAAAGGGCTCCATCTGCAAGATGCGCCGTGGGCATGGCCATCTTACCATCATTCGTATGCAGGTCGGGGAGGGCGAGTAGCAAGGGCGAGTAGCAAGGGCGAAAGAAAGTGTGGAAATGCTGCAACTCGGATCGAGTCATCGCCACCATCCATTCCGAAGAATTGAGTAATGATTTGTGTCTTTTCGTTGTATTTCTGTGTTCTTGAACAGACCCTCAGTGCGACAGAGCATTCGCAAACAGAAGAGAGGAGGTATGCGTAAGGTCAGTAGGTGAACAACACATAGGCTGCATGGCTGCAAGTGGAGAGGGAAACCTGGCGAGGTTTGTTTGTTGTTGGAAGTTGGAAGACATGCAATGCAATGGCCTTGGTGGTCTCCCACAGACAGACAGACGGCCAGTCGGTTGGCCGAACAAGACAGGGAGGAATATGTGAGGCTGGGAGGGTATAGTTCGGTCGTCGGGGCCCAGAGCGGCAGGTTTTGTTGTGATAAGCTGCGAGGAGGATCTTCCCGTGCCCTCAAACTCTGAATCCAACATCAGAGAGTTGCGTCTTGGGAACGGTGTCACCTCGGTGACCGCGGGGCACTGACTGTGAAGCTGTGTTCCTGCCCTGAATGGCGACGGCGGAGGGCACCGAACAGGCAATCCTGGAAAGAGGCATCGAGCGCCCGGGGCAGCTGGAGCACTGGGCTGGCTGGCTGGATGACAAGACCAGGAAGGCCCTTCTTACGTGCCTGCTTTCCGGCTGAGGTGTCTTGGTATCTCCCAGGTTTTTACGCAGTCACCTTACCTACCTTAGTACGGAGTAACATCCAATGTATCTTGTATCCGTTCCGCAGCACGGCAGGACGGGAAAGAAAGAGAGCCCAGCCCGGGATAAACACACGCGTGCACAGCAGGAGCCAGCACCACAGCACCACACTCGCAGCCCAGTACCACAGCAGCCCGTCGGGTGGGGATACAAATTACCTCTAGTCTGCACACCTGCGCCGCACCCCGTCATCATGGAGGGGCACCAAAACGACAACACTTTCCCACCCTCAGCGTTCCTTCCCCCCCTCCTCATCATCCACACACCCCTGTCGCCCATGTTCAAATAAGGACTTGCACCTACGCCGCATCTTCAACGCTCCCACATCCCACCTTTCCCCCTCCCCGCCTGACACCAAACAAGACGCCTTCTCGAATCTAGCCCGTCTTTCCAGCCCCAGCCGTTTTTGGGGGAATTCGTCGTGGTAGCAATCTTCCGCACCTCTTAGCTTTCCTTCAATCTCAATATCGACAACTACAACTCCTCCACCGCCCGGCCAGTCGGAACGCTTCTCGACTCTTACGTCCTTGACCGGGTCTGCCTCCGCTTCCGCTGACGCGACACCGCTACTTATATCTCGATTCGTACATATCTTTCCTTGGAAAAGAAACATTGCCGGCTGCCACAGTTACCTCCACTCAGTACGCCCACAGCCAGAAAACACATCTCAGCTGAAGAAACGAATCGTTGCGCAAGGCTGCGACAACCGCCTGAGAGACCGGGGTCTTTCGCTCCCGTCCTCGTCAGCTGCAGAGACACACGATGCCTTCAAAGCCCCGACATTCTGTCTGAGTTTTCGTTCCAATCTGGCACCCCAACTCTCCGAATATGAGCGAATCACGCAACATAGAAGATCTCTTACAGACGGGCTTCTTCACAACCTCTAGGGCCAAAACTCCCAAGCAGTAAGCTCCTCTTTCCCTACATCTCTGATGTATATCATGTCTTACCCAAGTCGCAGACCTAGCACGGATGCTCCGGCCGTTCCTCCTCATGTCTCCAGCATCTCCAATATTACCCGACCGGCCTCCAACCCGGATCCGCTGGTACCCAGGTCCTTCGACCCGCCATTGAGGCTCACCCGTCGCAAACACTTTCCGCCCCCGCCAACCGTCGAAGATGAGACCGAAGCGCTCCAAAAAGAGCACGGCAGCGCTGCCTCGCTCGTGACCGACACAGAGCCTCCATCGCGAGGTGACGCCGATCAATACCCCATCATAATGGAGGTACACGAACACAACCCCGAACGCCGATTCGTCCTGGTGCCAAAGTCTGCGAGCGGCACAGAAGATGAAGACTCGTCAGACGATGCGAAAGCACGCGCTGCCGAACGCTCGCGTCATGCGAAGCCTGAGACCAAGGGCGACTACGGAGCGAACTACGAAGCGAACACTGGCAGAAAATACCGGGCGCCTCCAGTCGAGGATCTGAATCAACACAAGCGCCCAGACCTCGAAAAGAAAAAGAGCAGACAAGAGCTTCCACGCATTGAGACTGATGTCAAGAACGAGGAAATCCGGCCTCGGAAACATGAACGAACAAAATCTGCGACTCGCGTAGAGCAGCAATCTGCCGATTACTTCTCACCAAAGGACGACAAGAGACAGCCCAGGGAGCCTCTTCTCTCACCACAGGTGATTAAGCATGCAACAGGTGGGCGCGAGAAAGCGTACTACGACTATTCGCAATCTGGTCGGAATGGCGCACCGCGGCCCCAGAGAAGCCGTTCGAATCTGGCCGACGATAGCAGAAGGTTCGACGATAACTACACACGTCAAAATGCATCATCGAATCCACCGCCTACGCGTCGTTCCAACACTAATATTGACTCTCCTCCCAAGGAGTCAAGAGTTGCATCTGGCGACAGGTTGAACGAGTCTCCTCGCTACCAAAGAGAACGGGTGGTACCGCGTGGCGAACGGCCACAGAAGAAGGATCCCTCGCCGCCGTATGATCGCCTAGACCGGGACCGCGACCGCGAGCGTGAGCGTGAGCGTGATGGTGGTTCGAAGAGGACATCAAATTCCAAGCGCGATACTCCGCGACGCAGAGATGACAGTGGCTCCAGCAGTAGCGATTACACGCAAACTCCCCGGACAGCCAATATTCGGAGGAGAAAGTCGATTGTAGATCAAGAAGACAAGGACGTATTGCTGAGTCCTGCTCAGCTCAAGCCATCTCAATCGGCCAGGTCGAGATCGAGGCCTCCCCCGGCAGAAGTTGTGATGCCATCTCCACGAGTCTCCACAAAGTCGTTTGCTGACGACATTCCACCACCTCCTCCGCCTCGATCCTCACAAACATTCCCCGTGACAAGGGAACCCAGGGAT